AAGAATCGAAAATTAAGTCATCAATTCAAGCTAAATCTTCACCATTTGTCGAAATTAAAAATCTATGTTCAAGGAATTCAAAGTAGAATTAGTTCAATCATGAATCGAAACTAATCTCATACAAGCCATTGAGATACACATCAAGAGCTGAATCTGATGATAACCAAAACAGCTATATATCGTGAAAACGGAGATAGTGTAAGAAAATGAAGATGAGAGGTTTAGTTACCTCAAAGTCCCCAGAAATCTCAGATTCAAGGCGCTTAATAAGATCTTCCTGGTAAATTTCTTCATAAGCCATCCTGATTTGCTTCCTCTGTGCTGCATTTCTGTGTCCGAGTATCACGATTACAGTCTTCTCATCAGTCCCCCATCCTACCAAAGTTACAAGCAGAAACAGATTGCATGCGTGAATCACAGTAACAAACTCAAGAATCGAACAACTATCTACAAATCTAAACAGTTAATTTCAGTCTAATAACCACAATCAATACATAAATCAAATCAATATTTACTGATCTCGGAAGAAAACACTTCAACGCCATATGAACTAAAGTTAAAGTTTACGAAATTAACCTTTAAAAGCTTTGTTAAGAGCTTCTGCATCCTCAACGACAGAGACCTGACTAGGAACAACGAGGGAAGCCATTGATGAATTCTTTCTTCAGCTCTTCTTGTATAAATGTTGAAGGAGACTTCGCTACTGATTCTTATTTATAGCTGATTTTAACACGGTGTTTTTCTTTTATTTTTATTTTATTTTTTCGTTAAAAAAATTAAAATTTACTTCAAATAATAAAAAAAATTTAAAATAAATTATTTCATTTAAAATAAAATAATTTAATTTAATTTAATTTTAATTTAAAATTTCTAGTTTTTTCTATGATTATTTAGTATAAAATATTGTAATTTGATTTAATTTTCTTATTATTAAATAAAATTATTATTTAATTTAACTTAATTTAATTCATAAATATGATTAGCTGTAATACAGCCTGTCTTAATCTAATTATTTTATACTCAAACTTTTCTTTTATCTTTTTTTGTTTACAAGTGAATTAAAATTATTATTATTTATAGAAATAAAATAATAAAAAAAAATTAAACTGAATTTAAATAATTTTTTTTAATAAAATTATTGCTTTTAAATATAATAAAAATAAATAAATATTATAAAAAATAAATAATTACTAACCCATTAAAAAAATTACTAACCTACTAATTTATAATTATTAAAATTAAAAAATTATTATTTCATAATAACTACTTTATGTTTAAGATATTATTACTTTATAATTAAGACATCATTATTTTATTACTTTATAATTATTAATTTATTATTAATAATTCTTTAATACATGACAAAATTTTAACAATATTTTTCGAGTGCAAATTATTCTAAAGTACTTAATATTGACAATAATTATATTATAATTAAATAAATTTAAAGTATTATAAAATATAATCCTCTTAATTAAAATTTTTCTTTTGAAATGGTAAGAACATGGTTTCAATCGGTCATCTATATTAATTAATAAATTTATTAATTAATAACATTTTTTTTTCTCATGGTAGGTAGGTGTAATTAAAGTCTTTAGAAATTTCAAATATCATTTTGAAATTTTGTTCTTTAAAAAAAATTAAGTTATAAGTCTTTATATATATACATATATTATTACTATGTGAAAATATATAGAAAATTGTAAATGGTGATTTAAGTAATTAACGTAGAAGACAATCATTAATTATATATATATATATATAAACCCACTTATTTTTTTTGGGAA